GACAGAAATGACAACAAAGAGATTGTAAGAAGACCAACACAATCTTCCATTCATTTCACATGACAGCGGAGATATAGTATTTCACAGAACATATTCCATTCATATCATCACATTGTACTTACAATTCCAACTAACATAATATCCCATTAAGTAGGAACACTTCGTCTTCTCAAAAAACAAAGTGTTCATACTTAATATGGCCATAACCAGAGGCATACAAAAAAAGCCATTGGTGAATCATTTGAACAGGGCCAAAACCAAACTAATTCCAAAAAACTAGCCTAATTACAATTCCATAGAACTGGCCTAATAGCAAAAAAATGCCAACTGTCACATTTGAACTGGCCTAATGTCAGTCATTACAGAGTTTTCTAAATCATTTGTGTGGGGCTAGCCTAGGTGGCCTGAACCTTGGTGTAGACATGAAGCTCATGAATCTGTCCCTGGTGCCACTGCTAGCTGTAGTTGCTGTCTCACTGGTCACTGCCTCAGCAGGATTGTATGGAGGTGGGCTGCTGTCTCTTGATGCTCTTGAGCTTGGTTCAGCTGCACTTGTTGCATGCTGGCTGCTTGTCTCCGGTGCAGGGCAGCCCTGACTCATGATGATTTCTTCAACCGTCCTTGACTGAACTTCAACATTAACCAGTTTTGTCTTTGACTTTGAACCACCAGCAGGTCCCTTACATGTTTTCGGGTAATGACCAGTCTCACCACACTTGGAGCATTGAACTGTGTAAGTATTTCTAAGCTTCTTGTTGGTCTTCATAAGCTCTTCAGTGGGATCCTTCTTGCGATGTTTTTTTGGACGTCCAATAGGCCTTTTCAAGCGTGGAGGAAGTGGTTTTGGGGCATTACAAGTTGGCCAATATTGTTGGGAATTGACTGGGTTGAGTGTGTGTTCATAAGTGGCATGCAAAGCATCCACTGTCAGCCATTGGTGAACATGATTTTCCACAGGTTCATTCTTGTGTGCAATGTCAGCAATAACATGTTCACATGGCAATCCAGTCAGCTGCCAAACATTGCAACTACAAGATTGTTGAGTTAAATTCACCTCAAGACGTTGACCCTTTCCAGAGACTACATACAGATCTTGGACCAAGTTTCCAGTCCATGTTGGTGTCCAAGAATTGCTTGCAACCTTCAACTGGTCCAGCCTCTTCTGTTGTGCAGGTGCAATCTTACCCCTAAAGGTTTGTAGAATCCTCTTGTGTGCTACCATCCTTCGCATTATGTAGCTCCTCAATTCCTCACATAATGTCATTATAGGTTTGGACCTGTAATTCACAATCTTTGCATTCTATACCTCAGCCATATTATTTGTAGTATTGTCACGTTTAGACCAGTGACTGTAGTATGCCTTAATCCAACATGAAGGATGCATATTGTCAAGATACTTCAAAGCTGGTTCGTTTAGAGTCTTCAGCCTTTGCGTGACCTTCTCAAATTGGGGAACAGTGGTGCATCTAGCACATTCCCACACAATTCCTCTGGTCTCTTTATCTTTTCATTGCATTATAAAGTTCTTCCATACATGTTGTACACAGAACCTGTGGTGTGAACCTGACATAATTTCCTTCAAGGCTGGGACAAGTCCCTGTTTGTGAAAAAAAATGATTGGAATAAATAATTGGAAGCATAATGTGAAATAAATAATTCGAAGCATAATTTGAAAAATGTTACCTTTTGTTGATCTGATATTAAGTTCCAACCATATTCTCCACGATCCCCTAAGTCTTCCTGTAAAAGGGTCAAAAACCACTTCCAATTCTCCTTTGTCTCACTGTCAACAACGGCATAGGCAATCACATAAAATTGCTTGTTTGCATCTTCACCCACAACACTCAATAATTGACCTCCATAATAGCCCTTCAAAAAGCAACCATCCAACCCAATTAAGGGCCTGCAACCAGCTTTGAAGCCCTTCTTACAAGCATCAAGGCAGATGTATATTCGGTCAAATATTGGCAATGCTTGTGGAATAGGTTGGGGGTGACTTGCAATTTGCAAGTGGAGCCAGGATTGCTCCTCAACAGCCAGATATTCTCTTAGTCTTCCATATTGTTCCTTCTGACAACCTTCAATGATTCCCTTTGCTTTTTTCAAAGCTTTGCTTACTTTCTTCATATCTAAATGAACATTGTATTCCTCCTTCATGTGCTCAAATGCCTCTGACCTGGTCATCTTGGGCTGTGTTAGTATTCTCTTCTCCAATTTCTTGGCCACCCAATCTCCAGTAGCCCTTTTATTCTCGAAGATTCTGCAGCATGTATGAGGCTCGTTAAAAGTCTTTATTTGGAATGTGCTTAGCTTGGTGTTCCAGGCACAATACACCATCCATTCACAGTCTTCTACACTATATTTGGCTCTTACTCTGACCTTGTCATTCTTAACCCAGATGAAGTTCCTCCCAAGACTGATATTATAGTCTTTTACTGCACACTTAAATTGGTCCAAATTCAGAAACTCCATACCAAGTTCTAAATAGACATGCCCAAAAGAAGCTTGTTCATTAAACTTTGGCAAGACATGTATAACATTCTCATCATCATCACTTGAAGGAGGAGTCCTCAACTCCTCAGACAGATAGGTATATCCTTCTTCCTCAAATGACATTATGTCTTCATCTTCATCAACTTCAACAGATTCAGAGTCTTGAATTGGGGCATCCTTCTTGACTGCCTTCTTCCTTGGGGTCTGTTTTGCAGGCCTTTTTTTCTCTACCAATGGCACATTGTGTTGATTATCATCTTCTGAATGATCCTCAACACCAGGTGGGGGAGGCTTGTATACCTCATCCTCTGCACTCTCATATAATCTGAGTGTGAGGAAGCATGGTCATCATCTGCATTATCATCTTCAGACCCATTACCAGCATCCTCTGCACTTTCTTCATCATGGTCCGAATTGATCCCATCATCATGTAAATTCAAGCCATCAGCAGCCTGTGCATGGTCTTCATTTTCTTTGATCCCATCATCATGTAAATTCAATCCATCAGCAGCCTGTGCATGGTCTTCATATTCTTTGACCCCAACATCATCTTGTGCATTATCTTCATGTGAATTGACCCCGTCAGCAACCTCTTCATGGTCCTCATTATATGCTGAATTAATGACATTATCCTCTTCACTGTCATGTTGAGGTGAAGCAAACTCGGGAATTGAGATGCAGTCCTCAAAGTAGACATGTATCTCATTGCCATTCCCTAAAGCAGCCTCACACATGGCACGCACATCCGAATCTGTACTAAGTGGTCTCAGCCCTTGCTCTAAATCGGGTACCCCAGGCTGTAGCCACATCATCTTCTTGCATTTTTCATACCCATATTGCTTAAACAGGGTGTCAAGGTCACAGAGATTGCAGTAGTCAATGTCCATCTCTGGCAATGAGTCCACCCTTCCATTTATATAGGTCATCACTCTATCTTCATCTCTGACTAAAATACCACCATGATGATAAACAATCACTATGTATTCGGACATCTGTCAAAACCAAAAAACCAAACCTATCATTAATCCAACAGCCACACACGTTAGACCACTTAAACAATACAAAACAATAAACAAACAAACATTTTTTATGGATGCAAACTTTTTTTCCAACGATTTCCATGGGGTTTTTAATTGTTACTGGGTCAACCATGGACCACTTTCTAAAACAGGGACCACACCACCCGGTAGTTACATCCTTTAACCTAAACCCTAAATGGAAACATGGACCACAATGTCCACTTCGCATGCAGACAAAAACACGCATTAAACAAAGGGGAACAACATGGGGACCACAAACAAAGGAGGACAAAGAACAATAAAAAAATGTTTCAAGATTTAAATACTCTCTTACCTTTTTGTAAGAAAGGTTCAGCCTCACACAAAGGGAGAGAGTTATTTTACTTCCACCGGTTCCCTCCGATTGTTGAAAAAGTTCGTATTCCAAACGCAGGCAAGTTTTTCCTCCACAACCCTGTTCCTTCTCAACAATGGAGCGTCCAAGTTTGAGGAGAGGGAAATGGTAAAGTGACCAACGGTTAGGTGAGGGGCAATTTTGGGTTTTATGAAAAATGGTCTGACCAACGTGGATGTGTCTCTCCAAACGACGTCGTTCCTAAACCCACGTTGCCTTCAGCATGTCACTTAACGTGACACATCATCACCGTCAGTGACACCGTGAGTTTTGGATTGACAGAAGGACTAACGTGGGTCCTGTTTCACTTTGTTAGGGACTATCTAACGAGTTTATTTTTGTGAAGGACTAATTTGGCCACCGAGTTTTTTGTCAGGGACCAATTTGGACATTTACTCATTATATTATCTTATGCTAGTGAGGCATAAAAAATTGTGCCATTCTTTTTTTATTTTTAAAAAGTAGTGAGACCCACATAACTTGTTTCTATGCATTATGTAAGCTATTTTCTATTAAAGGAGATTAATAAATCCCGTAAGTTATATGGGGAAAGATATTGTGACAACCAAGTTGTGTCACTACCAAGTGACTACCAATCAATCTCACCGTTAGATCGATTATGTTGATCCAACGGTTATATTTATTTCCATCTTTGTATGGTCATGATTTCCCATATTTAAAGTGAAAGTATTAAATATGAAAAATCATAACCATACAAAGGTGAAAATAAATATAAAGTATTAAATTTGGGGAATCATGACCATACAAAGATGAAAATAAATATAACCGTTGGATCAATATAATTGATTTAATGGTAAGATTGATTGGTAGTCACTTGGTAGTAACACAACTTGGTTGTCACAATGTCATTTCCCTAAGTTGTATTACTATAAGAAAGATAGGGTTTGAAATATATAAAATTAAGGTAGTAAGATATCCTACCTCAATTATATATCGATAGAATCCATACCCAAAATCAACACATTAAATTTTAATTTTTTTTATCATTACATTAGATTTAAAATATTATTATATTTAATTTTATGTAAAATAACGATATCATAGCACTGACAAGTATTTTCCTGGTCATTAACATTAAACACACACAGAGTTGTTCTTCGATCCATTGAAGTTCCGAAAAGGTTCTGCTCTTGGGAAGAAGGCCCCAACTGCACCAACGTTGTTGGGACCCCACACGCACACAGTGTTCTCCGAAACACCCATGGAATTGACCAACAGATCTATCCCTTAAACCGCCACAAATCCAAAGCCCCCAAATCTGATTCTCGGGTGAGTTTCAATTTCGATTGTGCCATAAGATATTCGAATGCCACACAGATTCATGGGTCTATCAAATCTCGCAGACCCCTTTTCGAAACTCGATGTGGGTGTTGCCGTTTCGCTTTCATTTCAGTTTCATCGCTCATTATATTTTGTTGGGTAGTCAATTTTGAATCTCAACTTTCACCTAACAATTATCTCACAACTTCACACCAAGCTCATTTTTTGCTTTGCTTTCAGTTCAAAGTTTCACTGCATTGTATGTGTTTTGTGTTTTTGTGTGTGTGTTTTATTGTTATTATTTATGTAGCTTCTGATAATTTTTTCTTAATAAAATTTGATTCTTTCGTTTGTTTCCGCCAGATATTGAGTTGCTGCAGAATTGGGGTTGTGCAATTATGTAAAAGTTTGTTCATTTTGGTTAACTTGTTTTGTTTCTTACAAATGCTGTTTTGAAATTGGTGTTTTAGAATGTGAAAGTTTGTCTTTGGTTTTACGTTGGATGGTGGAATTTGGAGAATGTGGGTGAATTTTACCATGTGTGTCTCTCAGCTGTCCTGTTTGGTGTTTCAGATGTATGTGTAGCTTGTGTGTGAGGCTCTGACGAGTTGCTTATAAGAATGGATGATGTAGCAGGCCTAGCTGAGGCAGCAGGATCAAGATTCAGTTCATTGGAGCTTATTGGGCAGGGTTCATTTGGACACGTCTATAAAGGGTAGGTGTTAGTTTTTGGACTGGTATAACATGCCCTGCAAAATCAAACTACCCTTGCACATTGAGTTCAAATCAAAGGAGTAGTTCTATATGCACTTTGCTTATTCAATGGGTTAATAGTTCTTAGTGCAAGACTTTCCTCCATGTTGCTTCTGCAGGTGAAATGTTGAGAATAATTTTGTTAATAAAATTTTAAACTTGTTCTTCGTATGCTTATTTGATATTATATGATACTACAATGTATGAAATTTGCAATTTGATGCTAGTGTGAATAAGAAGCCTTTAGTGGAGGTAAACTTAATGTGAACATTATTATAAAATGACTGGATGGTATTTTTGAACAATAATTTTTATTGTTAAACAAAAAAGCTAAGAATGTATATGATGATATCTTATCAAGGATTAGTTAGAATTCTTTGTCCAGAATTTGGAAATTAAAGAATAAAGATTGAGCGTTTTGTTGACAGTTAGGTGTTCTTGATGCATAAATTATACTAAATCTTTTGACCAATAAATATTTGTTGGTTAGTTCTTGTATTTACTGTGAATCATTGCAATAGAGGAGGACTCTGTGTTTGTATGTAATTCTGTCGGAAGCTTGAATGCTAGACCAAGAACTTTGCCCCTATACTCATGGAAGACTTATAGATAGTTTTCCATCATAAATATTGATTCTTATAAAATATTGTACACATACAACACTGAGCATCCTGAAGAGGGGTTGGTTTAATTATTTGTAAGAGCCAAAGTCTATTTGCAATTTTTTGTTACTTGAAAGAAGCAGATCATGTGCATTTTTTTTTCTTTTTTGGATAATTGGTAGATGTTTTGAAAATTTACTCTAAAGTTATAAACAACAACAATAACAACAACCAAAGCCTTTACCCTTTAGATGGGGTTAGTTACATGAATCAAACGATGCCATTGTGTTCTGTCCAAAATCAATTCTTTAGCGAGGCCATTTAATCAAGCAGCACCTTTCTATCATAAATAACACCTGAAATATTCCTCCATTTCATCCCCCAGCTTGAATCTTATGATTTATGTCTCGCTGTCCTTTTCTATCGCTTTGTATGGTAGATCCAAGATACGTAAACTGTGTGACTTTTGGTATGGTATGATTTCGAATTTCCCCTCCAAGCTGACGCTAGCACGCGTCTTACAGAACTTGCATTCCATATAGTCCATTTTACTTCTGCGTAAATGGAAACCATGTGATTGCAAAATCTCTCTCCATAGCTCCTGTTTACCATTTATATCCTTTCTCGACTCTTCCACTAGAACTAAATCATCTGAAAAAAGCATGAATTAAGGCGCTGACTCTTGGATATGTTGAGTGAGAATGTCCAACACCAAGTGTCAGAGAAATATAATATAAAACCGTTAATGTGACATTCACCTAACAACTTAAGATTTTAGGTTGAATTGGTTCTTTCATTGGTCAAGTGGTCATGAGTTAAATCCTCACCGCCCTCTATTCCATTTATAAATAATTAATATCGTGAGTTTCTTAGCACAGGTAGGTGGGCTTGTGCATTGTCCACCCTTCAAGCCCAATAAATTCTTATGTGAGGGGGCGTGTTAAAGAAATATAGTATAAAATTCTTAATGTGACATTCACCTAACAACTTAAGCTTTTTGGATGAGTTGGTTCTTTACACCAAGGACTCAAAGGTTGACCCTTGGTGTAAACCTATAGAACACAATCACATCGTCTATTCATGTCATTAAGATTTGACTAAGTTTTCTGTTGTTAAGATTTGGGATATTTTCTTTTCAGATCATTTTCACTGCTTAACTTTTTCATAAAAATGACAATTCTTATGTTGATTTTTCATTTTCTTTTTGTGTTTATATTTGTTTAGAATTTAAATTGATATGTCACAATCTAGAGCCTGGCACACTTGCATGAAAATTATACTTAGTAAATTTATTGCTGACTTCCTAACATGTAATGTCTAGTTCCCAGAGCGCTACCTAGCTGGCAGACATTGGTAGCCAAGTATACTTGTGTTTAGTGCTGCTGTTCTTATTTGTAGGCCGTAGTTAATCATTCTGTTTAATTAACTAATTTATTTTGGACATAAAAAGGAAGTTGAAACTAGGATTCTAAGTCATGATCATTGCACTTTCTTAAGTTTTGCAAATTAAAACCTAATGTGCAGTTATTTAAGCTGCTGTATAGTTACCATATCTGTGAATAGAATTTTACTGGCCAGGATGGAAGTCAATAACTACTTTAGCAAGTTTGTGGATATTGTTTGTAGAATTTTTCAAGAGGAAGATAATAATAACAGAATACATCAGAGGAACTTCCAAAAGATTATTTCCATTTTTGTTGTCAGTCATCATTGTGAATAACATAAAATAAAACTATATAAATGACATGGTCTGATGAACTAGTTATTGTTTTTCTTTACATCTTTTATTTACAGGCCTTAAGTTAGACATGGACAGTGAGTTGTTTGTCACTTTTTCATATATCTTATTTCCAGGTTTGACAAGGAGCTCAACAAAGAAGTTGCCATAAAAGTGATCGATTTGGAAGAATCGTAAGTCTCTTGTCCCCCTTCTTTCAAGAATGTTCCAACTCAAGGAACTTTAGTATTGCCATATTAGGGGCACTAACCAATTAAAGAGAACCTTAAAATAATACATTGAAAAGAATCTTTCATTACATTGTCGAAGATTGTCTGTCTATTAGAATTTCGGGACATACGACACTGCAAAAATAACATAGTTTATCCTTTTTTTTGTCCTTGATATGCTCTTTGTACTAGGAGGGTGAAATCCTGAAGTTACCCCCCCCCCACACACACACACACACAACCCAACCCAACAAATGAACAAATAATTAAAATGAAAATTGAAAACGTCTGTAAGAGCAGTAATCTCTGTTTTTTTTTTTCTTCAAGTGAGTTTTATTATAGTGTTCTCTGTCAAAAAAGGAGTGCTTGTATGTGTCATTTTCCTTCCCACATTAAGTTTAAAGGTTTTAATGATTATTCATCTAAATTTTCCCTGTATTCTGTATGCTACTTAGCGTCTTCTTTTTTTGATAAACTACGTGTTATCCACTTTTTCTTCTTTTTTGATAAACTACATATCGGAAAAGGTGGGATGGGGTGAGGTTGGGCTAACATAAGCATTTTGAGTCCATAAAGGATCAGGTCACTGGGTCAGTAAGCTTCTACACAAAGTTCTGATAGGGAAATTTGAATTGCTAGTCAAATTCACACTGAAAATTCAAAGAGCTTGATTTGTTCCTTAGCACTTGACAATCTTGGTCATATAGGTAAATTAGAAGGAATATTACAACTTCTTGCATTGTGTAGGGCTTACACAATAAGCATGGAGTTAGAGACTGACTTAGGAGACAGAGTTTTCTCTTGATGATAAGAATAGTATCCAATACCTACAATTATAATCAATAGGGTCCAACAAGGGTAATTGGCATCCTATAATAGGTGCTGTGATGTAGTAACAATTTCCGATCCTTTCATATCCGTTGAATTTATTGTTCTCCATTACAAGGCTGAACATTATTAATGGAACATGGAAATCTTTTATCTTCATTATGATATGCATTTCATGCTTTTTATGTATCCTTAGTTTCAAGCAACCATCTCTCCGGGAATCTTAAGTGCCTGTTTAGGAAGTCTTATTTTTAGCTTATTTTCTCCTTATAAGCAGCTACTTAGCAAAACATATTTCTACAAAAGCTCTTATTATAAAAATATTTTTTTGTTATAATGAATAAAAAAAGAAAAAGCTAAAAGCTCTAACAAATAAAAAAAGAAAAAGCTAAAAGCTCCCAAGAGGAGCTTTTTTTAAGATATATACTAGCTTTTTAGAGTTCTCATAATTATTTTTTAGTTTCACCTTTATTTTAAATTTGTATATATCATTTTTACTCTTTACGCTAAAAATCTATCCTAATAACAGATTATTTCATCTTCTCTCCTTCAAAACCCTTTGAACAACTTTATATAATCACTAAACAATTTTTAGCTTTTTTCCTTAACTTTAGCTTAAAATTAGCTTTTAGCTTAAAAGAAAAATGTTCCAAACAGGCTCTAAGTTGTTAGGCAAAAGCACTTTTATTATTTTATATTATATTATTTCCTTAACACATCCCCTCATGCCAATTTTACAAGCCCATCACACCAAGAGCCCTTTTTTTAGAATTTGAAACATGGATAACTTATATAAGCCCACCAAATCAAGAGCCATTTTTAGGGTTTGAAATTTGGAAATAAACTTTTTTTTATTAGAAGAATGAGGGCTGTAAGAATTGAACTCTAGACCCTTAGATCGTAAAACTCTGATACCATATTAAGCAACTAACTCTCCTAGAAGCTTAAAATTTCTAGGTGAAGACACTTTTATTATTTTATATTGTATTATTTCGTTAACACGTGATAAACCAAGTGGGCCTCATTTATATTTAGTATTTAAGTTGAGATTTTCTCTGCATAAAATGTTGTGGTTCTTATTATAAACATAATATTTTTGCTGTGTTGCTCTCAGAATCCTTTTGCACTTCTTGCTTACTACTTCATTACTTGTCTTTCTTTTCTTTTTGCCCCTTTACAGAGAGGATGAAATTGAGGATATTCAGAAGGTATAATTTCATAGATTACTTGCACTTCACTTATGCTGTATCCAAATGATTAAATTTTGATATCAGTTTAATTTTTTCAGGAAATTGCTGTTCTGTCACAATGCCGATGTCCATACATTACCGAGTATTATGGTTCCTTTCTCAATCAAACTAAACTTTGGATAATAATGGAATACATGGCTGGCGGCTCTGTTGCTGATCTAGTAGGTTACTTCTGTTCACTTGCATCTATTTGTTCAGTGCACAAAAATTGAAGTCACTGTTCCTCAAAATCTGCCTCTATTAGTGAAATTTCCCCTGCTTATCCTTGAACTGTCATTTATTTTTTTATTAAATAAATTCATAAGACAAAGGGAAGAAGATTACAATGAGTTAGGAAGATAACATATGATCCTTAAAAAAGAAAGAAGAAAAAACAACCAAATGCTCTACCCCAGGAGAGAACAACCAAGAGAGAAAATGGTTACTTGGATTCTTCAAGCACAATTGTTGACAAGAGAAAATGGTTACAACTTAAAAGTGTATGGTACAGACATGCAGGGGATATGGCTGAACGTCCCAAGGGGAAATGCCAGTGGTTGAGCACTGGGTATCCATCTTAGATCCAAGGTTCAGATTTCATTGGGAGTTTATGGGAAAGGGTACCAAGAGACGTGAACCAGCCTTGAGGGTGTGTACTCTAGGAAGAAACATAGGGGATCACAACCCCATTCCACTAAAGCTGAGAACAGTAGCCTCTCGAAAGCTACCATGTTTTCTGTTTTTTCCTTTCTTCAAGTAATCTGTAGTACCTTTCATTTTATTGTCATTTCCCTTAATCTGTAATTCCTTTCTCTTCTAAATGTAGTGTTGCTGAATTCTTATGAGAATCAGCTTTGAGAAATATATTCAGTTGTTCAGCTTCATTTCCTTTTATCTTGGTTACTGAAACCCATCAGATACGTTATCCTGTCCTGTTTTTAGACTCCAATTGACCGAAGAAATAATATGCATAAAACTGGATTATAGTGTTGCATATTTCAATGAAGATTTAACGTTTTAGTTATAATTCCTTTACCTATGGTACCATATATATTTTAATATAACCTTATCATTGTCAATGGCAATAAAATTTTTAGATTGACGTTGGTTGATTTAGTTTCTATGGCTTTGCATTCTTATAACTTTTTTCTTTTACGTCCAATCTCTTTTGCTATGTTTTTTTTTTATTGGTTTTAGGAAGATTTCTTATCATCCTTTGTACTTTCCCTATTGTTAAATCTTCTTTCATTAAAACAAAAAACGCTATGCTTGCAAGTTCATATTCTGAATGGTCAATTTTTGCGTGCCACGCTATTTACCATTTTATATCTATTAAAATTAATTTCCTGGCTGTATGTTTTACAATGGAGTTAATGCTGGTTTTGCTTCTGTAGCTCCAATCAGGTCCTCCTCTTGATGAAATGTCAATTGCTTGCATTCTACATGACTTGCTGCGTGCGATTGATTACCTACATAGCGAAGGAAAAATTCACAGAGACATTAAAGGTATCAGGAACAACCCTCTCCCAATTGGTTTTGCTGTACTTTGAAGCTGCTTTTCCCTCTTCCATATGTACTTTTGTAGTCATGTGCTTTTTCTTTTGTTTTTTCATTAGCTTTATGATTGACAGCATTTACATTTCAATTATGCAGCTGCTAACATTTTGTTGAGTGAGAATGGTGATGTAAAGGTAAGTTTTATTCTTAAAGAGGTTTCCATTTCTTTATTTTATATGACTTACTTGAAAAATGATGCACATAATAATTTGAGATATGGACTTACTTACGTTTGCTTGTGAATTTCTATGTGAAATGTCACCAGGTTGCAGATTTTGGTGTTTCTGCACAGTTAACAAGGACTATATCAAGGAGAAAGGTAAACATATTTCATTAAGGTTAAACCCCTGGTAAATATAACATGGATGGGTTATTGATATCATATTATATTTTCGTTACATTCAGATTAAAACTTATGTCTGGTATTTTATAATTTATAATCTCGCGCTTAACCTCCTTTCATGGGTACAAAATTGTGCCTTTTTCAATTGGATGAACAAATCAATGTATAAACTCTCAAAGTGAAAGAAATCCGGTGCAAAATATTTAGTGTCTTGTTGTAATATGAATTGGCAAAATGAATTTCAAATTGTTGTAATATTTTTATGTCATTACTATAATTACTGCATCTAATGCTTTCTGCAATTAAACAAATCACTTCAAGTTCTAAATTAGCGCTCTTCATATGCTAATTTGTTTGATAACAACAGACATTTGTAGGAACTCCATTCTGGATGGCACCTGAGGTTATTCAGAATTTAGATGGATATAATGAAAAGGTTGTATTATAGTTATTATACATGTCTATTGTTATTTTTTTCTTTGGTTCAATTCTTCTATATTTTAAGTAAGTGTTCCCTTTGTCTTTTTAGACCCTTAGAATCATCACTGCGGTAGTTTCTTTATGCAGGCAGATATCTGGTCTCTGGGGATCACTGCAATTGAGATGGCAAAAGGGGAGCCTCCACTTGCTGATCTTCACCCCATGAGAGTGCTTTTCATCATACCCCGAGAGAATCCTCCACAGGTTGTGTTCTTTAATATCAGACAAATCGATCTTTCAAGTTTTGAACTATTTTAAGTTAATAAAGTTTTCAAATGGAAATGTTATTTTTCCCAGCATAAAATAATTTAACATTTAATCTCCTTTTCTGCAGCTAGATGACCATTTTTCTCGTCCCATGAAAGAATTTGTTTCATTGTGTTTGAAAAAGGTTCCTGCTGAGGCAAGTATCTATGCTTTCCATACACTCACTATTATTTCGTGTTCTTTCTCTTGGGCATACTTGTAGTTTATATACATTGTTAATGAACAGGTTCAGTTTTATCCTTAATTCGAGTGAAATGTTCACTTTATGGATTGTATGAGAGCATCCAGAAGATATTCCATTTGTTTGATGACACTTAATATGCTTGTCTAGAACTTTTTTTTGGTGTGTGTGTGTGAGGGGAAAGAGAGAGAGTTGGGGGGGGGGGGGAGGTAATAATAAGTTATATTAATCAAAATATTGGACATAGGATCTGTTAAATTTGCATCCTAATTTAATAAGATCAGGGATAATAGAATTGTTTGTTTGGATTTTTCCTGTTGAAATTTGTACCTGTGACTGATGCGATGTGTTGTTTAGTTTTACCTAATTAGAAGCTTATTAGACTAGGCTTGAAGTGGAACTGGTGAAGTTGATCTCTCTCTGTCAGTCTCTTAATTTCCCCCTCTTTTAATGGCTTCAATTCCAGAGGCCAAGTGCTAAGGAACTTCTCAAAGACCGTTTTATTCGGAATGCTAGGAAGAGTCCAAAGCTTTCAGAAAGAATACGGTGCGTATTATTGATAAAGATCTGGCTATATTTTATTTACATAATTCTACCTATTTTGGCTTTTGCTCTTAATTTTTTGTTGTTCTAACCTTTTATTTGTTCTGAAGTTAATATATTGTAGAAAAATAAATGCTGAGATGTTGAATTAACTCCGGAAACTCTTTTGCTGTGCATTTGTTAGCATGCTTTCCATGAAAAAATTGAAAGTTATAAACACTCTCCCCCAGCTTTTGGTTGACAACACCATTCCTTGTGGTTTCATGATAGGGGGCGTCCAAAAAACCAAATAAAGGAAGATCTGGGGACACCTAGAAATGGCCCAAGAGGGATAGGGGAGGCATCGGATACCGTGAAGGTGGTGAGAGATTTAAGAGGTGAAGAAACTGATCGACCCAGGTAGGCTATGACTGATGGCTACCCGTTTTTATTTTACATATTGAATTTTTATGGACAATTTCTAATTTGCAGTGGTCAGGATAAAACCCTGAAAAGCTCTGAATGGGACTTCAGCATTGATGGGTCACAGGGTACTGGAACAGTTCGTAGTGTTTCACGACCACCTCAGTTTAGAGATAAAAAGACTGAAGTTTCACATAATCAGCTTACCCAAAGAAAAGCTCCAGAGAGTGGCTACCGAGGGGGATCTGCCAATAGAAGTGCACTTAATGAGTCACTTGAAAGTTCCTTTGGAAGAAATCTAAGAGTTCCTCACCACGATGAGCATCTGGATACTCACCCTGAAGATGTAATTGATTCTTACTATGCATTTGTATCTTTGTCAAAGAAGTTTACTTAATGAATTGAATGATATATTGAGCATTCATATCTACATAGGGGAACCTTGGGGTGTTTCTAGTATTTATAAAACATTGAATATATAATTACGCTTAACCCTGATAAAAATTTCCCTGTCCATCCTATGTTGCTACCCATTTTGCAGACACTTACAACAACTAAACTATTTGTGTTGGTATAATCATTTAGAGAATTCACTTTGCCAAATATCATGTGAAAGAGTTGTGTCAATCATGAAGTAAAGATGGAATTCCCATGAACTTCAGGAAGTTTCATTTTAAACAACCTGGACATGCTTTGATCTTCTGAGATCTTCAATTTGCAGGATGAATTGTCTGGTAATGGATTAGGAACTGTTGTTATTCGATCTCCAAAAGGAACAAAACCATCTGTGTATCGTGACCAAAGCTCTCAGGTATTTTTCAAGCTGAGTTGCTTTCATAAGAACTGATTAGTTCTTATAGCTGTTCTGTGCAGTCACTTGATGAGAATTTTAATGCAATGTAGTCTAGCAGCAGCTATGCTTCTTTTGAAGATGCTTCCTCGAGTGGAACTGTTGTTTTGCGTACCCAACATGATGATCCTGATTCTCCACAGACACCAAGGTCTCGACTAGGAATTCATGACCGAAATTCAAATTCCTTACTGGAAGATAGTGCTTCAAATCTTGCTGAGGTTCTATTTTTGGCATTATAAGTTGTGATTCACCTATGATTTGATTAATGTAGGGCAACATGTCCCCTTTTCCCCCCTCGTTTCTTGTTTATAGGTTTGATTCCATGATACTTTTGATTTATTTGAGGAACAGTCAGTATCACATTTTATTATTTTCCCATGTTATATATTTGCCAAGTTACCCACACATTTTGTTGGGTATATTTGCTTCTTAAACACTTATTAAGCATTTGTGTTAAAAAAATTTCACCTTTTTGTTTGTGTTCATTTTATTTTTTACTATAGGATACTTGACATGTTTGAGATCACTTGGTCAGATTGATATTACTTATAAACAGCATTTTCTTACCTGTTTGTCTCTACAGGCAAAGGCTGCTATCCAAGGAGGGCTAAGGAAAGTGAATGCTCGAGAGAGATTTTCCCGGGGAAAATCCAACGATATACAGGAAAGCAAGAGAGACCAGATGACTAGCAACTCTGATTCTTCAAGGTACATCAATAGCAATTACACTGGTAATTTTTCTATTGCTGAAATAAAGATGTGATTATAAATTCTTAAGGAATATATTTTTTTTTTCAGATCATATCGTGATTATGTTGATGCACAAAAGGGCATGTTAAGATCACATTATGCTAGTGATGATGAAGAAAGTGTTAAAATAATGTCATCATCAGTGCCGTTATCAGTTTTGCTTATTCCTTCATTAAAAGAGGTATTCCATACATGTATTGAATCCTTAATAATGTTAAGAGTAAACATTGTGTTATGACTTCCTCTCATTCTAAGTTTGTGTTAGAAAAATATAATATAAAATCATTAATGTGACCTTCATCTAATAGTTTAAGTTTTTGGGTTGAAATGGTTATTTATATGATGTAAGAACCTTTGTGACCAAGTGGTTACGAGTTCGATTCTCATAACCCCTATTTTATTAATCAACATCAACAACACTTTTATTCCAAACTAATTAAAGGGGCGAACCGGAGCAGTGGTAAAACTGTTCATTCATGACTGAAAGGTCATGGGTTCGAATCCAGGAAACAGCCTCTTTGCAATTATACAAGGGTAAGGCTGCGTACAAAGATTTTCTCCACCCCACACTCGCTAGTTGGGTTTAACGGGAAGTGGTTTTTTTTTTTAGTTAAGGTCGGTGGTAGATGATCCCAAATGAAAGATACAAAGGGATTGAAAAAAGATAAAAATGGAAAAAGATAAAAAAAATTAATAATAATAAAAATATATAATATAAAAGTAAAAATAAAAGGGGTGTAAAAGAAATAAAAATAAATAAATAAGTAAGAGAAAAAAAGATGGGGAAAGAAAAGAAGGGGAAAAGAAGGGAAAAGAAGAAGAGGGGGGATATGAAGAGGAAAAGGACTAAAAATGGACCATCTGGAACATAGGAATAACAATGAGTCTAATCCTCCACCATGCTTATAACTTTTCTCCATTCCGTCCTAAGGCACATCGTCCGCCAATCTATTGTGGAGTTTCTTAAATAATTAAATAATGTGGAGTTTCTTAGCATAGTTAGACGGGCTTGTGCATTGTCCACCTTTCAAGCCCAATAGACTCTTATGTGAGGGAACATGTTAGAGAAATATAATATAAAACTATTAATGCGACCTTCATCTAACAGCTTAAGTTTAAGGTTGAAATGATTCTTTACCATATGTAATGCCAAATAGAGCATCTTACGGTGTGCCGATGGCTCGTCAAGGCTGCACAATTAGAATTGTTTCAGATATGTTAATGTTGAAAACAATGAGGCATTAGCTTATTTGGAAACGAGATTAGAGTATGATGCACTAGCTCTACTGACTATTCACTGAATTTATTATTACTATTTATTAGCTACATGATGATTTTTTATACTCAGGCTTTTAATTCTAAAAGCAAAATGTTATTTTTGAAAAAAAATTGATTAAATTATGAAGAAACTTATTATGGTGTTTTCTTTGGGTGGGGTGGGGGAAGTGAGGATTGGACACTAGTAAAATTGGTGCCTGATAAGATGGAAGTTTTTGTATGCTTTGTTAGTTTATTGCATGAATAGATTTTTAATCTGTTATGGTTTTTGTTATAGCATGTTTATGTTCATTATGTAGGCCATTGCTAATGTTTAGTGTTTGTTATGTAGGCCATTGCGGATGATCCAGAAGGGCCAATCGTACGGGCAGTTATCAATTCTTTCATAAACATGGAGGGAACAAAGCCTAGATCCTGTGATGTTCTTGTCAAAAAGTTGCTTCAGCGGTTGGCAAGGTTTGCCTTCTACTAACATTCATTACACATTACATACTAATAGAGGAAAGTAAATGTATCTCTCTCATTCTCTTGTGTGTGCAGTTCACAGGAAGATTCATTAAAGGATCTGCAGGGATTGGCAGGTCAACTATTCAGCCATACCAAGTCAGCTGAAGAAGCCAATAACCAGAAGAAACAACAGAACAAGGAACCTCATCCAAATAGCAATTTAAGCCCACTTGCAAGATTTCTTCTCTCAAGGTTTATGGAAGTTCTCATTTTCCCTGTGAATAACTTTATTGTTAAAATTAGTAGTTATCTAATGGTGCACTTTTTCCTAGCTTTTGGGATTGGTGGCTTCTTGCTATTGAAACAAAGAGCATGGCTCTCTCTCTTTCTTTCCCATATTCACATTAGTATGGCATGGAATATGTTTGTGAATAATCTTTGTTCTTTGTTTAACAGATGGCAAGGCCATACCTCACGGGATCTAAACCCATCTTGAGCAGAGTCAGAAGTTACCATTTTGTGTGTTGTCTCTCTATTTATGCATTTATAATGATTAAATGTACATATATCATTGTAAGAAATTGTTTTTTTTTTTTTCTATTTTCTGTTAGTATTATTATTAATTATTAATTATTTTTCTTTTAATTTTTTCCCGCTCTTAGTGTTAGTGACAACAATGCTGTATAATTAATTAGAGGTGTTTCTCAGTTAAATCCAATTTGTGACAGACTACATTGATTAGTATTTTCTAATTGTTGTCATGTCTCTTAAATTTGGGAGAATAAGCCAATACATAAATGATATCTTTTCCGCATTATTTATCACTTTTTTTTATGCATAATTAGGCTGCTGCTATGGTTTGTGAATGAATAAGTTTACAGAAAATATCTCACTGCTCATTCTAGTTCCCTTTGGACAGTCAGTGAGAAACAAAATTGTCTTGTAAAAGTCCAATTTTGAATCTTTTTATTTTCTAATCTGTATTGTGAGAACAATTTCAAAAGATATATGTCTGCTCTATTTCCTCTACACCAGAAAAGGACTTAAGAACCTAACGGGAGAAAACAAGGGACAGTGAGAAAACAAAACTTTTTGAGACCCTGGATGAGTGCAACCAAGGATGCTGTTGCTTGATGCTTAATTCCCTGGTATAGCCTTTTTAACTAAATAATAATAGAGGAAGGTTATACTTGTCACTAATTAAGTTTACCATTTCTTACTACTAAATTTTAACTGTTAATTTTTGTTAATCTGATGATTATAGTTTATTGGATGACACTTATTAATTAATTATTAATTTTCAATAAATTATAATGGTCAGATTGATCAAAATTAACGATTAATGTTTGGTGATAAGTGATAAACTTAATTGGTAGTGAGTATAATTTTTCCCATAAAATAAAACTTCATTACAAAGTAAACATAACTAATTACTCGCCAGCCAAGAAGTTATCCATTTTAGTTACATTTGAGAATCCCTTAAATCCACATGGTAACCCATATAAAAACAAGGGTTTTATTAATCTCATGTTAAAGGAGATAATTATCTCATGTCATAGAGACAAACTAGTGGGCTCCACCACCTGAAGAAAAAAAAAGGTGGCACAATTATTGAAGGGTGTATAGGAAAGAAAACTTATGTCATGTGACATAAGAATAGTTTTTCCCTAAAAATAACTACTGTCATACTTCCAGCCAACGAGACTAGAATTTCTCTTTGATACCCAGTTTTTTTTTTTTACTATTTCTTGGTAAGCAAAATAAACCCATTTTTTGTTATCAAAAAAATTAAAATAAATAAACCCTTTTTTTTTACATTAAAATAAATACTCCTTGATACTTAGTTAACCATAAGAGAGATCACGCAGCACTACTATTATGCATATATTATAAACAAACACTTAACAAGTCTGTACTCTGCAGTGCAGAGTCTTGATTACAACAAAGTGGAACATAAATTTTGTGTTGCATGAAACTTCAGCTGCTTCACTTCAGGACTTATTCACAATTGAAATACATAAAGCAAATCAAAGAGAAACCTCTCCGTAAATCTGTGCAACAATAAGAACTCCTAGGAACACAACATGTTAAAATAAGAAGAAAGCTGTTCCAGGCATTTTATTTGACGACTTTGTAGGTTCACTAAACGTAATGAACAGGTATTCTGTGTGTGTCAGGGCCAGCTACCATATCATCCCATAGCAAATCAGAAAGTAACATTGTTAATTCTCCAACCCTTCCTGTAAAAAATTGATCATTGAATAAATACTAAGGACAAAGTGTTTAAGAGAGAGATCAAGATCAATGCATCTATCTATCTATGTATAGGTACACCCATATAAATTACTCTTTTAATCTTAGTCATTGATCTCACTTGCATCTAACGGTTAACGCGACTAATACATTAAAGCAGTTAAGTGCAAATAGATCAATAGTTAAAATTTGCTATCAATAATGAATTATGTCAAATCTACATTTAATAAATGTCCTGTGCATCAATAATGAGAAGAAAGCATCCAAGGATAAGGCTTCATACCATTCAAGGACAGATTGATAGCAGATAATTACTGTTACTAACTTACCATTGCCAATAGGTTGATCATCCCACATGATGATAGGCAACACAGGAAGTGTGCTTCCTACGTACATCATTTCAGCAGCAGCTTTAGCTTCATCCACAGTTAGATTTTTTGTTGTTACACCTTTCAGAAGCCCTTGATCAACCAATTTAGGTGCCAGTTCAAGAAGCCTTTTTGCAGTGCAACCATGTAGGATATTATCAAACAAAGGCATGACAAGTTCTTTTTCTTGAGTTATAAAAGCAACATTCACATTTGGACCTTCAGCAATATAACCTGCCTCATCAACCCATATAGAAGCAAATACTCCTTTCTCTTCAGCTTCCAATATTGAAAGGACATTAGGGAGATAATTCACATTTTTCATTGTAGCAAATAGTGGTGGCTTCATTGGTATTGTGGAAGTAATCACTTTAACCCCTTCTTTGTGCTGGGAAACATCTTGGTCAATGACTACTGCATAGAATGCAGATGTTGGACATCCTGCTGATGACAACAAGAAATCACCAGGACCTGCACTCAGCCAGTATCTTAGAGTTCCTTTCTTGCATTTTGATACTTCAGCTAGTTGTATCAGAATGCTGTGAAGTGTTGACCGAGAAAAGGGAGAGGGTATCTTTGCTTTGGAGGCTGACCTTAAGAAGCGATCAAGGTGAACATCCAACTCATAGAGGTATCTGATATAAACACCAAGATCAGAGAAAAATATGTATCAAATGCAAAAATCAGAAAATTCAAAGCCAAATGCTTTGTCACATAAATATAAAGTATTGAGTTGTATAGAGTAAACCAAAAATTAGCATTACCCATCTAAAATAATAGCCGTATCAAACACACCATGCCCTCTATGTACCATGTGATCATCGATGGGGATTACCATCATTGCTGGATCAAGTGTGATACCTCCATATATACTAGAATACATTGCTGGGTATGGTTGTTTCTCCACTGAACTCCATCTTTGATGAAGCTTTTCAAGCAACTGAACAATGCAACCACAATGAAAATTGCAAAGCTTAATGGATAACAATAAACCTTAAGTAATTAATGATGGCAGTAAATGGTATTGCAGTCCAATTAAAACTACTGAAAATAAGTCGTCATCTTAGAGAAATATAAAACCATAAACGCGACCTTCACCTAACAATTAAATTTTTCGGTTGAATTATTCTTATCTAATTTTTTTTTGTTTGCATATATATCTAGTCTCAACCATCCAAAGCATGTTCAAGCCAATATGCAAATAATCGGGATTCGAAAAGCAAATTGAGTAAAATATTTCCTCCACCTCTCTCTCTCTCTCTCTCCCTAATCTGACCAACACCAATTGTTAAATAATAAGCTTTGGTTTCGCAGACACACACAGAGCTTATGAACAATTTAACTTCATAATAATGTATTGATTCTTGCAATTACTTAAAAAATTCAAGATGATACAAAAAGTGGGGCTTAAAAATCTCACCTCGGATGATGAAGAGAACACGTGAACTCTAAAATCACTAGCATTTTCAACCTCTGGTACACCCCAAGAAAAGTTATAAAAAAGAAAAGAAAAGAAAAAAGTTTAGCCAAAAAACAGATACAATACAAATAAGAACATCACAAGGTCATTCAACAAAAGCAACAATCAAGTTTTAACATTTCAATGAGATCACATAAACTGAAAACAACCCAGAACTCCAACTAACCAGTGGACTTCTGAGAGGACATACTGAACTCAAGGAGAAAGCCAAAATCACAAAGGTGTACCTAGGAAAAACGTATACTTGGAGCAGAGCTACAAAGTATGTGAAACTCGTATATAAAATTTTATGAATGTATAAGCTATGTATAAGCTATATATATATATATATATATATATATATATATATATATATATATATAGGGATAGGTTATTCTGTCTACCTTTATCTACCTCCCTTAATACCGTTAGATTACAATCTCATCTAATGATGGAGATTTACAGAATAAAATAAACCATTTTCTCTTTTCTTTCTCCTTACTATCTCCCACACTCTTTCTCTCTCCTCCCCTTTTTCTCTGTCGATTTGCATAATTTATAATCTGAATTTATATTTGAATCTAAATCCAATTAATGATTAATGGGATGATAATTATGCTGGATGAATATAATTTTCAATTTTTTTTGAATATGATATAATTAAATATGGTAGAAATCACAAAAAAAAAACAAAAATCACGAAGAATCCTTTCCTTTAAATTAATCCATGATTACAAAAATGTTTCTATTTTGATGTTGAAAATTGAAATCGAATCAACTTATCTCCTTCTTCTTATATTGTTTTTCACCATTGATGTTCAACATACATACATGATCCTATAACATAGGGCATATGGGTTTGTTTCTTCCCTGACACCCCTTTTTAATTTTTTATATAAATGCTCATAACAATGACTGAGTTGGATGAATTGAGAAAAAAAATTTGTACCTATTTTTGATGCTGAAGCGTCATTAAAGAGAGAGAAAGGAGAGGAGAGAGAAATGAGTTAAAGAGTTTATTTTATATAAAAAATCTTCAGCATTGGATAAGATTGTAATCTAACGGTATTGAAAGGGGTAGGTAAAGATAGGCAAAATAAGAGTAGGTAGAACAACCTATCCCATATATATAAGTTTATAACATTTAATATAAACTTTACAATTTCAAAAAACTAATAGGATAGGTTATTGTGATAGGTTATTCTAATAAATTATTTGCATGCCTATTTTATCAATCATTTTTCAATACGATTAGATCAGAATATTAAGAGTAGAGAGAAATAATAAAAGGTAGCTGAGATTTTGATTAAACAATATTAGAGAGTGGTAGGTAAGATAAACATAAAAAAAAAAGAGTAGATAAAATAACTTATTCCAAAAATAATACCATACTTACTCTTTTTTTTGAAATATTTCAATACATTTATCATTTCGCGACTAGTTTGATTTAGTATGGATTTAAAATTAAGGCTCTAAAATTCTTCTAAAAAATAACATTGAAGAAGATCGAATAGAAACTTTCACGTCTATCCATTCAATTCTCATTGCGCCCACTAAATTATCATTGTTTAGAAACGGCATGCTCACATTAAAAAAAAAAAATGCACCCCATTGTTTGTTTGTCTTTGTTTTTTTTAGACGGAATGAACACTTTGGTGTGTCTGCTTTCAGCGAATGGGACAAGATTATCTTGCATCATTAAAATACTTTTGAGACAATAAATCGTCGTAAAGTGGATGGAAGCAATGCCTTTTAAAGAGAAAAAGAATCTTTCTTAGGAAAAAATTTCTCCAAATGGACACGTACCTCATCTTTCCTACTCAGCATCTTCTCTATTGATTTTTTTATTGACAGGTTTAAATAGTTAAATTAGTTTTTACAAGACATCAATATTCAATCATGGTAGTATTTAAAAAATAAAAACTATAATATAAGTATTAAAATATGTATTTCATTAAATAAATTAAAAATTAATTTAACTTATATAATGTACATTTTAAAAATTTATATAATAATTTTAGTGATTCAAGAACTAATATAACCCTCCTATATGATTATTATATCCCGTAAATTGATGGTTTACGTTTTGTAGTTTTTTTCCATTGCCGGCCTCAATGAGTCCAAACAAAACCTAACTCCCACTTTCTCTTTAATTATAAACATCTATAAATTTTATATAATGAGAAGGTTAACAACTATTGTCTTATTAAAAAAATTTACATTTTTATAATCGTTTGCTTAAATTATAAAAAATAAAAATTATAAATCTATTCATTTTCTTTCTTTTTGTTTGATCTGCATATGTGTTCATTTTCATTTTATATACGAAATAAAATAAGATTGTGTTTTATTCACGCCTATGTTGGGGATATCTAGAGATAACTCATGACCTACTCTAATTAAACCCTTATTGGAATCCTTTTAATTAAGGGGCGTTTGGTTGAGGAAATTTTTTATGAATGATAGAGAAATAATATTCATAAGAAAATGGTAGGAAATGATAGGAAAGTAAATTTGGTAGGAAAATATAAAAAAAAAGTTGTTTGGTAGAAAAAAAATTAACCAGAAAAATTAGGTAACTTTTATAAAGTCTATGTTTGGTTGTAGGTAAAATATAGATGAAAAAAAAAAACAACCAACAAAATCCCAAATAGCCATGCAAATGGGGAGAATACCACATCTAAAGTGGGAATATTTGTCCATCAATTTTGATCCAAATAGACATGCAAATGGGATACCTAGCAAACTCATTTAGGTGGACAAATTTGAAAGCTTGTCAACCAAACATGAGCACCCAATTTCCCCACTTCACATTTCCCTATCATTCTCCTCAAAAACCTTCAACCAAACACCCCCTTAGTGAATTTATTTTTATCTTATTCCATCATCTTAAAAATTATGTGAGTTAAAATTGAAGTCAATATGAGTCAGTACATAATTAAATATCAATTTTTTTCACATAAAAGTTTATTTTTCCAAGGATCGAATCCTTTTTTTTTTTGGGCGACTAAATATGACCAAACTCTTTTCTCTAACTTGCGCGATTGTGCATTTTCATTTTTAATGGAGAAAATTTCATTCTGTTGTTAATTTTATTCTTCTTGATCTAATCATAAGGAGTTGGATGTAACCACATATGGTTGATCCTGATAAGTCAACGAGTTGATGGGACGGGATCACGTGATTTGCTATGTGGGATAATACCAACGGATGGTAATTCCATTGAAGTGTGTTTTGGCTGGAATAGGAGGGGTGAGTACGTTAAGATATTCTAACGTTTAAGTAAGTATTTTATTAATGTGAGTATATTGGAAAAAGATCATCACACATGGACTTTAAGCCTCTCTTTTATAGTAGGAGACTAGCAGCATGATCTGTAAATAATTTCATCAATAAATCAGTAATACATGTTCAACAATGCCCATTCAAGAACATGATACAGGATCTTTAGAATTCATGGTTTTCATATAAAAGTGTACCTTTTTCCATTAGTGCGAAAAAACTTTGATGATAGAATGTCTTTCTCAGAGTCTTGACCTTTTTCCCTACTTGTATCTTCTTTGACAGTGATTGGATACAACTATGATGGGCAGACAATGAAGGAGAGTTTCTTTGAAGATACTGTTCTCAGAAAACTACCAAAAACTCTTATAATAACTGAACCTGTCACCAGTTATTTATCCATAAATAACTTCCCAACTCCCTTGAACCGTCAATTATCGTTATGCCCTTTTTATTAATTAAATCAACTGACACATAATATTACACATGAGATAAATAGTTTTACATTCTCCCACTTGGCTCATGTCATGAGGTGTCCCTTCATGATTTAATCAACATTCATTATAATGCGCATTTAGTAGGCTAAGGTTCCATACATTGACCTCATCATAATTCATTATTAGAAATAAAATCAATATGAGTCATGGCGGTTGTATGCTATCAAGTCGGCATAGTCCCTTCCATGTACCACTATATTGACTCTTCTTCCTAACATGATACTTTAATAGGAAGTATACATTATGTCCAACAATAATGTCTTCATTACGGACCATAAACATTTTCAATATCATCACATATACTTGCATGCATACATAAATTGAAAACAAGACAATATCAGAAACATATATTCATCAATGAGCTAAGAGTGTCACACTTAATACATAACAATAATTATCACCATTCATTAGCTGACATAATGCCCATTCTACATACATGACCAGTAAATGTCTTGGGCGGTAATCCTTTCGTCAAGGGATCAGCTATCATAAGATCGATGCTAATATGCTCTATAGACACTCTTTGTTTCTGAACCTCTTCTTTAACGGAAAAATACTTTAATTCCATATGTTTAGCACCTTTGGAATATTTTTCGTTTTTAGAAAAGAAGACTGCTGCAGAATTATCACAATAAATTTTCAGCGGCTTTTCAATGTTGTCGACCAATCCAAGTCCTGAAATAAAGTTCCGTAGCCATTTAGCCTGAATCGTGGCTTCAAAGCATGCCCTAAATTCAGCTTCCATAGTGGATGCAACTATTACAGTCTGCTTCACACTTTTCCATGATATAGCTCCTTCAGCTAAAAGATACAGGTAACTACATGTAGACTTTCTTGTGTCTACGCATCCTGCAAAATCTGAATCTGTGTATCCTATCACTTCAAGGTTGTTAGACCTTCTATAAGTAAGCATGTGACCTTTAGTTCCTTGCAAATATCTCAGAACTTTCTTTACAGCTTTCCAATGATCCATACTGGGATTACTTTGGTATCTACCCAACATCCCAACTGCAAAGTTAATATCTGGTCTCGTACAAGTCTGAGCATACATTAAACTCCCAACTAATGATGCATACGGAATTGCTT